AAAAAAAAAAACATTACAGAATGAAATGTTGAGGGCTTATTAAATTACACAATAACAAATAAATCAATGAATTAGTTGTATTTATTAGTAGTTTATTGCACAGAAATGTTAGGTAAATAGATCAGTAGGGAATAGGTATTTATAATGACTAATATTATAATCATCTCTTTCAAATATTAATATTAATAATAATAATAATAACAATAATAATAATAATAATAATAATAATAATAAAATACTTTTTCTTCTTAATTGTGCAACCAAGAAAGGTCAATGGGCAGTCATGGAGTGGCGTGCAATGAGTCGCTCGTTACATCGGTCCATAAGAAATATCCAAAGAGCGCTTTAAATAATGTTCGGTTTCATTTTCACCGGTCATTGTGAAGCTGCGGGCCTTTTTAATTAAAGCTATGATATGGACATGGGCATCTTCCGGTCATTTGGCAAAATTAACTACGCAAGATTTGAAAATTTCCATGAATTTTCCATTTGTTTTTGTCTTAGCAACCTCTTGACTTGGACTTGGATTTAATCAGGATTGCAAATGAATCTAGTCGAGTCGCGCATTAATCTTATTGAGTGGGATTCGATTTCTTCAGTGCTACTTGAGCTCGATGCGATCGACTTGAGAAATATATACAAATGCTCGAGATCGGCTAATATGTATCAACCTAAATTTTAAATAAAATTTCTCATCAACTATATATATATTTTTTTAGTTTGATTTGAGTTTGAGGTATTTAAGTAAATTATACTAATACTTGAGCAACTCTCGATTCATAAATTGCTTGAAGCTCACTTAATGAAAAAATTATATTTGACCTCCTTTAGTGAGGCTCATTACATAGATCAAAATCCAGAGACTTAGTAGCTATTTCAGGCCCTAATTGCTAATGAATGTTTATTTAGTATCGGTCATTGTGTTGAGTGGCAGACTCGCTTACTTCGGGATCTTATGTGGTAAATTTAAAGCTTTGGCATCTGATTTGAATGAATTTTAATTTATTTTTAATTCGAAATTAACTAAACTTGGAATATCAATAAATATATTGATTTTTTCCAGGGAATCCCCAACGAATAATAAACACTTTTCCTTCTATGATAATTTCAAATAGCGTTAATTACGTTTAATGTCATTTTCTATTATACACATGGTTTATATGGTTTAAATTTTTTTTCCAATATTTCTTTGTTCCTCATATTTCTTTTAAAACTATAACATATCTACTAACTTAAACTATAAATATATTTAAATTTAATAACATTTTTATTTATTAAATTTGTTTGTACATAATATATCAAATTAATCGTGTCTTTATTAGCTTCGATTTGACATCTACATTATACATACAACATAAATAAATAATTTTATTTATCTTTATCATTGAAAGTAAATTACTTTTACGTTTTTTTTTTT